CTCCCGTGTTAAATGATACGTAAAATAGAGTGAACAATATTGAGGTTAGGCTTTGGTCGAGTGCTAGGTAGGTGGGAGGGGGAGATCAATCGACGAGGCTGTGGAGTTACATCGACTGAGATGGTTATGACATGTGTTACACATGCCTAGCCATCGCCTTCCTCGACAACAGGCAGTGTTAGCTGACATTGGATTGATGAGGTTGGAAAAGTGCCAGCGGTGGTCAAACCAAAACATGGCTTCATCAGTCAATGAAATCCACAGTCAATTTTAGCCGGTAGCCACGTAGGAAGGTGTACACTTCCTGGTAGGGGTCCTGGAGACTGTAAAAACCTATGCCTGAAGAAAATTGGTGATATGGCTCAAAATCGTTCTCAATGACTGGCGCAGATGCGTCCACTCCTTGTGACTTATAATATGCAACAAATCTATATTGCTCTCCGTTATTACTATTCTTTCTGCCTCATATCTCTGTTTACTGTCTCTATTTTGCATTTGTTTTTAATTTCTTCTCATGCTTTGTGTGCTACATGGAGTGAGAGTGGGAACCAGAACTTCTGCACATCTGTGCAAAGTTCTACGTTGAAACCAGACAGTCAGTAGTCTCAGCATTGTGAACAAAATTGGCAGAATATACTGACTTCATTAAGGAATTAATAGTTATTAATGATTCCCAATTGAGTAGCCAATCCCCCAAATGTTGTTTGAAAGTTAACAACGAAATAATACACATATCTATGCAAAAATTCCCATATAAATGACCTGGTACGGCCTAAAGTGGATCGACTTCTATCTTCCTCTCGAGATGCTTCCATGTCGCGAAGCGTTCATAAGCTCCCTTTTACAAGTTACCTGCATTCACGAGGTAGAAGTGTTCTTCAGAAAAAGAAAAGACAAACATGAAGGTCTGGTGCTTACAGTCGGATTGGTGGACATAAAGGTCGACCTAGGGGAAGAGGTTGGAAAACCGTGATTCCAAATTTATGGTGTATATGAGCTCCACAATCCGAAAGGACTGAATGATATGTGAACCTGTTTTAGTCCCTGGTAATCACGAGAATACAGCTTCTGACACTGTTCCACTGCCTTGTGAACCAGACTTCAAGTCAAAGGCTGAGGTGGCAGTGCATTAGGATAACCATCTGACTCGGTCTGGGTGTCAGGGTAGTATCCCAGTCCTCGTATGAACTATAAAAAACACTGAGTGCCGCATCTCTCGGTTCTCTTAATGTATCATGTTTATAATTTAATATCAATGATAATGTGTACACAGGAGATAAACGATCCATTTTTAACGAAAATAATACTTAGAACATAATTATGATATTAACTATGAAGAAAGCAACTCTACGCATCATCATCGAACAAAGCATGGAATGGCGATCAAACTTCTACCTCAACTTTATAGACTTTGAGAAGGCCTTCGACAGCGTTGACGGCGAAGTAATTTGGAAATTACTCGAGTACTATGGCGTACCCTAAACATTCATCAACCTTATTCAACAGCTGTACGACAACGGAACATGTCAAGTGATCCACAACGGAAAACTCAGCGAGGCGTTTGGAGTAAACACAGGAGTCAGACAAGGGTGCTTATTATCACCTACGATGATATTCCTAATTGTGGTGGACTGGATTATGCGCCAGACAGTGGGAAATGGGCAGACAGGGATATCCTGGACCGACCGACGTGAAGAACCTAGAAGACCTGAATTTCGCGCGAGGATGATTTATGTTTGATGTCACACACAATCGAAGACTTACAAGCGAAAACCGACAAACTGGTCAAAGAAGCAGCCCGGTGAACACAGGACTCCAATTGAACATAGACAAGACGGAGGTTATGCAAATAACCAGCCAACAACAGCAACAACATCCAGTGTCAGTCACCATCAACGGGAGGGATTTGAAGGAGGTTACTTCATTCACTCACTTATCTAGCATTGAGCATTGTCTCAACTACAGGAGGAGCGGACGAGGATGTCAAATCGAGAATCGGGAAGGCGAGAAACACATTCATCAACCTGAAACCAATCTTCGTTACTCAGCATCAACAACAAAATCCAGTCGGATTTTCAATACAAACGTCAAGTCAGTCAGTTCTTCTATATGGATCAGAAACTTGGTGGGTCACAAAGAATATTTCCAAAAGGTTGCAGACCTTTATTAACAACTGTCTTCGCTCTATACTGAAGATCAGATGGCCGGAAAGAATCACCAACAAGGAATTATGGGAACAAACAAAGCAAGAACCAATCGCCCAACAAATATGCAGGAGAAAGTGGAGATGGATCGAACACTCGCTGAGGAGACCGCTGGGTGACATCGCGCGTCAAGCCCTCGAGTGGAACCCGAAAGGGAAGCGACGTGTGGGACGTCCAAGGGTGACATGGAGGAGATCGTGTGGAGGGGAGTTCAAAGAATATGAACTAGCATGGATGCAGGCGAAAAGTACAGCAGAATACAGAAGAAAATGGAGATGTGCAGTTGAAGCCCTATGTTCCACTAGGAACCCAAGGGAGCAATAATAATATAATAATAACTATGAAGAAAGAATATACTTTATGTAATTACAAGACTGTTTCACACTTCTTAAATCATTGGTAGAATGCCAACATGGTCACTTCACCTCATACTATGCCCGCCAAAAGAAGCAATAGCATAAGAAGACGCGGCCAACTTCATCTAATAAGATAGATTACAACAAACGCAACGAACAAAGCATAACGACCCCATTATCTTTTCATCTTTCAACACCAAGTGATAGTCTCTAACTGATGTCAGCTCATGATGAAATCCTTCATCCAATCAAACAAAATCCCTACAAAACTAATACCTGAAAATTAATCTGATGCTCACTAGCGACTGGCCCTATTCAAGCAGTTAACCTGGGGTTCTAGTAGGAAGCCGTGACCAGTAGGGTACAGCAGGTCGAAGATGAGTCGGTAACTCATCGAAGAAGACAGTGCGAAATGGTCGCGCTATGTCTTGAATTGGCAGAAGTTAGAATTAAAGGACCAGCTCATAATGAAATCCTCTAACCAATCAAACAAAATCCTTACAAAAATCAATACTTGAAAAATGAGATACACTCATCCTCATCAAGCCACGTGGACAGCTGTCCCTGGTATTCAAATCAACAAGAAATAGGTGATATGGTCGGAGGTCCAGACACTGGATCAACGAGACATTCCGTTTCAGTACGGATGAATAGTAACCTTAAGCGAAGCGTTCAGAGACAAAAGTTCACAGTAAATGTCACCAGAAAGGCTAGGTATTTCATCCATCGAGAGCTCCTACCGCTCACCTCCCAGTGAAATTGTCCAAAATTTAATACATTCAAAAGAACAATGAATGCTTGACATCAAAAAATACTTTTGTAGTCATTTTAGTTATTGAGTTTCTTTTATTATTTTTTATTTAATATACCTTGTGTTTGTCAAATGAACTGTCTACATGCTGTAGGACTTGAGAAACAGTGATAGCTCACTTCTTCGAAGATCTACAGGCGGTAACCAACAAGTTGGTCGAATAAGCGTTACCGACTGAACCTCAAGTGAACATGTAGAAAACAGAGTTGATGAAGATAATTAACCAAAATGAAAAACAACAACAATAAGAATCAATCACCACCACCAATGGGAGAAATGTGAAGGAAGTCACCTCTTCCGCCTGTATAGGCAACATCGTTTCAACTACAAGCAGGAGATAGACACGAATGTTAATGCATGAATCAGAAAAGCAAAGACAGACCTCGAATGACTGTAGTAAGAAAGTAAGATGATGAGGAAGATAATGTGAGTAAAGGAGGCTTCGTGTGCTATTGGAAGTTTGTGTGGGCGGTTGTTACTTCCCGGCTGCCCACACCAAAGAAGTTGATTGATTCTTCCGGTACCTAGAACAGAAAGAGGGTTAGTGTTGCGTCACCGGGACAACTGCTTGAGGCCGCTCACACCCGACCTGTATGAGCTGGTTAGACAGACTTCCAGTAATCTATAAATCAGTGTGATAATCTGTTCCACTCAACATAAAAAAAACAAGATTCGGATTTTCAAACTGATGTCAATTTTATTCTTCTATGTGGTTCAGAGACTTTGTCCGTTACTAAAACCATTTCCCATTAGCTTTAGACTTTTATTAACAGCTATCCCCTTCGCTTCATACTGAAGATCAGATGGCAGGTTGGAAAGGATGAGCAACATGAACACACCTATGGCGACGAATCAACCCAAAAACTTATTGGTCAACATATATACTGAAGAAAACGGAGATGGATCAGACAGGCACTGAGGAAATTATTAAGTGACACCATAGATCAGGCCATTGTCTGAATGGAACACAAATGGGAAATGACAAGTTGTGAATGGAGGAGATTGTGTGGGGAGGACATAAAAGCTTATAGAAAATCATAGTAGAGCCGACTGTAAAGGACTTGACAACAGGATAAACTAGAGGTGAACGCCTTAAATCTGTCCTTTGAAACAACTGTGGTGAGAGCTGCCTGCTAGCCAAAATTGGTAGACGGCAATTTACGTCAATGTTTACTTTCTAAATCCTGGTCATGAGAAAAAAAACAAGAACAAAGACTAACTCAACAGCCAATCACCGTAGACTGTGCGTGGACGGATACGATTCGCAGACATTTGGTCTGACCTTCAAAGAAATGGCCACAAAGAGATGACAGAATAACCTTCAACAGGAAAACAACCAATCAGAAGACGTTGCTTCTCTGCTAACAATAACGAATAATAATATACATAAAAATCTATAAATATCTGTTGATTTTCTCAACAGAGGATCTGTTGCCTGGCCCTTGTCTTCTGTCGTTACACTACAACCACTACCATGATGAACTAAAATATGACTTCCAATAAATACAGTTAGTACCAATTCACTTTTTGCAAAAAAAAATATGAATAATAAAACGAAAAATCCCAAGAAAAACAAACCATATTATAAAGTAAAAAAAAGTTGAACAATAAACTCAATCTCCGACTCACCTACAAAAATGACATAAACAATCAGTGCAATTTTTATCAAATGGTCTACGTAATCCACTACTTGTATAAATGAATTCTTTTGATGTACTCAACAAGCATCGACCAGGACGTATGCATAAAAAGTAGACTGTAAGACCACAAGCTGGTAGAATTACAAAGAATAGAATGCATATGATCACCAATAATGTATTATCCTTGATATCTACACATGGGGAAGAAAAAGAAAGGAAAGTAATAACGAAAATATGAGATAATAAGTCGGACATAGATTGGAAAGAAAGAAAATAGTGTGGATAGTGTAAAACAATAATGTAGTCTCAGGATTTCATCATGAACTGACGTCGGTCAGAGGACCATTGGAAAGTCTGCAAGGAGTATTGAGCAGATGTTTGGCCAGCCTAGTTTGAGACTGTTCGTCAGTACGCACCTACCACCATGGTTCGAAACCAAGATCTTCTCGTTATAAGGCTAGCGAGATCGCAGACCATTAAGCCACTGGGACCTGCTGATTCAATGGCGAATCCATGAATATCTATAGTTTTGGTTTGTAAGGATTAGTTATGTTTTACGAGTTGATCACGGATTGATATTAGTTAGAGAACCATTGAAAACCAGCCAAGGAGTACTGGACAGCTGCTGTTTCATCCTAGTTCAAGAATCATCGGCAGTACGCACCCACTGGGATTCGAACCCAGGACCTCCCGGTTACAAGGCAAGCTCGTATACCACTCAGCCACTGGGACCCGATTCTATGGCTCGTGAATCTAACTTCTACCAATTCGTGATTTAGCGCGACCCCAACCATTGTCGTTGGTGGGACATCCATCCGCACACGTGACATCTAATCGGACCTCACTGGTCACGACTTCTCACTAGAACTCAGGAAACTCCAACCTGTAGCAAGTCACTAGCGAGCATCAGATTAACTTTCTATAGTTTTGGTTTGTAAGGATTAGTTATGTTTTACGAGAATCCATGAATTCCAACTTCTGCCAATTCACAACATGGCTCGACCACTAGCGAATGTCGTCGGTGGTGAGTATTTGTCCTTACTGGTCACGACTTCCCACTAGAACCCCGGTAACTACCTACCTGAATAGCGCTAATCACTAGTGAGCATCATATTGATATTTAAGTGTTGGTTTGAAGGCATTTGATTGGTTTTAGGATTTCATCCTGAACTGACGTAGTTATTATTAGTTATTAGCATACGTATTCCCAAGTTCCCTGTTACAAGGCATTATGATTACACAAGAGACTCAAAAGGTTTACATATGAATGATTGAACTAGTGCCACGTCGTGATCAGACCACGCATGGCTTCCTCTAACTGGCAAACATAAGGAATAGCGACCAGGGAGTGAGAACGCACCACTGACCCTGAGACGACCAATAGGTTAAAGCCGTGATTTTTGCATGTAGAAGTTGTTTATTTATGAGGGAAATACACATAATAATAATGAAACACATTAGAGACGACATCTTACCTTGATGTAACTCAAAAAAATTTCCCAATCGCAATGAGGGGTATAAGTTTTCAAGTTTCATAGGTATCGAGACGGTTTCGTCTATATGAACAACGACCTCTTCTACTCACATTTATATTTTTACAAGAAAAATACAAACAGTAACCATGAAACACCATAAGCCTTATCTTACCCGTAATCCCAACCCTCAAGGCAGTCCTTATCATAACCCTAACCTCAACGTGCTATCAACCCTTCATCCAAAACGGTACTTAAAAACGAGATCAGGATCAGACTTTGCATCACAGGATTCATACTGGCTTTGTAATAACAGCAGGTTCTGAAATCCAATGAACGGTATGCGTTCAAGGTCATTGGTGCGTTCGCGGACAGTAATTGCTTTTCTTCTTTTAATAGCCTTTTAACATAAACTGGTTCCAGACTAAATTGTACAAAACATATTACAAACACTGAGATGATGAAGATTTACGAGTTCCTCGATTGACTTGAAACTCTATATATGATGCAAGCATTGCGCTCACTCTATGATTTCAATATTACTCGGTTACTTTTTATCATTCTACTTTATGGTAGACTTCCTCATGAAGCAATCGATATCAGCTAGAGAACCATAAAAAATCAGAGCAGAGTTGGGTAGCTGTTTCCTGTAGGCAGTTATGAGGCAACAAGAGATGGTATTCAAGATCTTTAGGCTGCAGGACTTGTAGGGAAATCACATGCACTACTGAAAGCCTGCAGACGGGAACTAGTTCATTAAAAGATTACATCTGGGACAATATGCCCTCAGAATTCTAGTTCCTCTAAATTATCACATCATTTACGTTGAGTTCAGAAACAAAGGAATGTTACTCAACAACAGCTTTCATCGATATACGGTAAGCAATAAGATACACTTATTTTGCGATAGCGAATGATGTAAGCTGGCTGCTCGATTCTCGGCAGGTGTAGCGGGGTTCAAATAAGTGACCGAATGCTTTGGGGTTCAGCGCCCAAACCAAGGACGCTGAATTCTAAATTGATCTATTTCTAAGCTAGAAGTTTGGTGAAGATTAGTGCTATAAATAACATCATGTTAAATTTCATATTTTTTTGGCTAACTAGGGATAATTCAAAAGGTGAAATTCTTCTCACCTAACTGAGTGAAACATGATAATGGATCATTTCTCGTTGGCATTTCTTTGGAATCATACACAGTGATGAAAAAAGAGGCTAAAACAACAATAAAATGGTACCACCAATGCTTATTTCGTTGGTTTCTCATCAGCTGCCTACAGGCAAAAGTCATTATTAAGTATATATACAGAAACAATTTTAACATACTTTTACAGGGTCCACTTTTAAACAAAAATCAATCAATCGATATATGAATACAGTAATAATAATATATATATATATGTATGTATGTATGTATATATTAATATTAAACACTATTTCGAACAATAATGATCATACACAATAAAAACTTTGGACAGTGCACAATCAGATGAAAGAGAGGTGAAAATATCCAGTTGCCAGGGAAAAGGAAGACTGACAACTGCTTCTTTCTGAACACATAAATCAGTTTCAGGCGCCTGATGGAGATGGCTTCAGCAAACTTGAGGAGAATTGAACTCTTTTGTCTACTTATAATTTTGAACGATTGTGAGATGTCCACTTCGTGATCTGTGTCAAGGAGATGCCTGGCGATGGCACTATTCAAAGCATTTGCTCCCTTTAAACACAGGCTTTTTGATGCATGTTCAGGAAATCGTAGATATGCCTTCTTTCTGCTCTTTCAATGTAACTGCTCCCACAGATACATGTTAATTTTTATATACAGTTGGGGATAACAAGAGAAGAGTAAATATAGATTTTTATAGCACCAAAGAGAAAGTTGTTTGATAAACGGGAACCAGCTTAGCTGCAGGATAGTCTCTGCCCAGTGACTTCCTCAATCTTCTGTTGACAATTACAGTAATATTTTCACCTTTATAATCAAGTTGAATATAGATGGAATTTTTCTCCACTGTGATTTGTTTGACTTATGAGACTTCAGATCTTCCTTACTTGTTAATGAATCTTTGAGGGTAACCATTGCTTTTCAACATCTTATCGAGAGAAATAAATCCTTCCTCTAATTTCTCTATAGAGCATAATCTCCTAGCTCTATAGTATAGAGTCTTGACTAGTCCACGTTTACACCTATTTGGACAAAACTATTAAAATATAGGTATTGTCCTCTTCATGTAGGCTCTCGGTGCCATAGCCAGACATCTCCTTGATACGGGTCATGAGGTGGAGGTCGCAAGATCGTTCAAAATTATCAATGGGCAAAACAGTTTAATTCCCCTCAAGTTTGACGAAGTGATCTCCATAAAGCGCCTAAAACACGATTCAGGTGTTTATAAAGAGTCAGTTTTCAGTCTTTCTTTTCCCTTATAGTTGGATATTTTCACCTCTCTTTCATCTGATTACACAATGTCGAAACTTTTCATTGTGTATGATCATTATTGTTCTCCATTATGATTGTGAGACCTGGCCACTGAGAGTGGAAGACATGAAAAGACTAGCTGTCTTTGATCATAGGTGCCTGCGCTCTATTTCCCGTGTAAAATGGCATAATAAGGTAAGCAACATTGAGGTTAGGCGTAGAGTTCTAGGTAAACACGGGAAATCAATCGACGAAGTCGTGAAGCTACAAAGACTGAGATGGTTAGGACATGTGTTACGTATGCCAAGTCATCGCCTCCCTCGACGAGCAATGTTAGCGGATATAGGGTCAGGTTGGAAAAAAGCTAGCGGCGGTCAAACAAAAACTTGACACCAGTCAATGAAATCCACAACAGTTGGTCTAAGCCACGTAGGAAGGTGCAGACTTCCAGGCTGGGGTCCTCGAGACGGTAAAAATCTATGGTTGGAAACAATTGGTGACATGGCTCAAAATCGTTCTCAGTGGCGCAGATGCATCTACTCCTTGTGACTTATGATTTCCAATGAAACTGTTTTGTTTTTCTTTATTACTCCTTTGTCTCACACCTCTGTTTACTGTTTCTATTATGCTTTTCTTGTACTTTCTTCTCTTGCTTCGCGTGCTACACGGAGTGTGGCGACTTGAACTTCCGCACATTTGTGCAAAGTTCTACGTCGAAAACAGACAGACAGACAGATTGTTCGGAATAGTGTTTAATAATAATAATAATATATATATATTAATACTGTTTTCATATATCGATTGATTGATTTTTGTTTAAAATGAACTGTGTGCAAGTATGTTAAAACTGTTTCTGTAGATTTATTTAACACTGACTTTGGCTTGTAAGCAGCCGATGAGAAGTCAACAAAATAAGTAAAACGGTGACAGCCTTTTTATTCTGCAAGCACTATTGTTCTTGCTTTATTTTAAATTCACTCAGGGGAGTAAATGTATGGAAAAAATAGGCTAATAGAGTGTTAAACGTATTATAAATATAGCATGAAAAGACTGGGCATATAATACTGTTTTGAAACAAGCACATGAATAGCCACAGACACAGGTATGAGTTAGTTATTAGGAATATATAGATCTGAGTCTACACCGTTTGACTTATTATATTATCAGAAAATTTACAGAAAGCAAAGATGAACTAAAATTAACCGACAGAAGTGGAAATAAACAATAAATTCCCCCAAGAAGAAAACAGAAGAAGTGAATTCTGTATGCTTTGTTGAATATTTCCCAAAATATGAGCATTATTCTTTCTATTCTTTTACGTTCCCAGTGGAACATCGGGGATTCAAGCTAGAGGTTTGAAGTTTCGGTAGCCGTGGTGTTTATTTTTACGGGATGGGGTGGGTAGCCTTTTCCCTTTACCAGCTTTATTACTTGCTTAGCGAGGTAAAGGAGTGGGTCGGCCAGGGATCGAACTCCGGACCTTGTGCATGGTCGGCGAGCATCCTAATCGCTGTGCCACAGACGCTAATGTTACTCTTAGTTGCAATCAATTACTCCTTGTCATTTTAAAAAAAAGTATGTTCAGAGATTAAGTTTAATCTACAATTTTGGTATTGTTCATGTTGTAACCATGATAGAAGAACTCACAAAATAATAAAAATAAACGAGCTCAGATTATGCGAGTACATTTATCACTCTTGTTTTATTCAAATTTACTAATGGGAAGAATTGTATGAAGTTTTTAAAAATAAGAAGGATGGATTCAAAAGACAAAGAGGGAGGGAGTTTAATTTTGAGTGGTACAACAAAAGTACTAATCTTCCTCGAATCATCAGCCACTATTATCATTCGCTTAGTGTTCTAATGAATGACTTTATTTGCGTTGCTGCTGATTTGAAACTCACAACAACTCATATTTTCATTCCATTTCAGTCGTTACCTTATTACATCAACAATAGTTAGTTAATTTCAATGGACATTTCGTCACAAATAAACATTAGTTAGAGATAATTGAAAACCAGTAAGGAGTACTAGACAGTTGTTTCGTTCCAGGTTGGGACTCTTCAGTAGTACGCGCCCATGATCGCACTAGGATTTGAACTTGGGACCTTCAGGTTACGAAGCCAGTTGGGTCGGAATTCAATGACCCATACACTCTAACATCGTCAATTCGTGGTATAGTGCTACCCTTAAACAATGCCTAGGATAAGTGTCCAGTTCGTCTTGACGTAGAGGACGTCACTGGTCATGACTTATCACTACAGCTACAGGATATCAATACAGCAGTCACCAGTATGCTAGAGATTGATATTTAGATCTACAATAAAACTGATCTAAATCCCTACAAAAATCCATAGCCTAAACATAGTTAATTAAATTAAAGTTTTCATATATAATCTAATCGACCATAAAACAATTAGTAGGTTTATACGTTTTCCGTTAACTTATATTCTTAATTAAAGTAAATAATAAGTTGTACTTGAAAAGTAATTATTCTGTATACAAGACTGATTTATTTTACGCAATTATGAACACAAAATAGACATAATTACAACAGCACTTAATTCCTATTTATAAATATATTATTATTATTTAAGTGTACTACTTATAGGCTGTATAAGTAGTAGCCATGTAATAATGAACGAAATACGTCATTAAAAAAAAAGTGCTTCAACATGCAAATAAAACACAGGTGAATACGACAGAACATTCTGTTTACATTGATAGAAAACAATTCAACTAATACTGTGTAAATTTGGGACGTCACTGTGATAAACTAAGAGTACTTTGATTAGACGCCACCATGTTGGTTGGCTCGCCATCGCTGGTAGAATTCAGTCTGTACCCAGTCTGTAATCAAAGTATCAGTAACAATCCAACAGAGGGTCAAACACCGAATAGCTCAGTGGTAACGTCTCTGACTGCTGCCCTGGGTGACACGGGTTCAAATCTCAAAAGGGACGTGATTTCCTTTAACAGTACAGACGCGAAACCTGGGTCCAAGACTATCTGCCGACAGCCCTCAACCATCTATGAACTAAAACTGAGAACTGTTTATATAAACAAACTGAAAAACGCAAAGAAAGCGGAAGGAAACAGAGGACTATAAACTTCTGCAGCAACTAAAATAAATGAGGTTGCTCTAAAAAACCATAAAGTAAGTGTGGAAACAAAAAGGAGAAGAGACAGACAGAAGCTATAGACGCATGCAGTTCTCTGATCAAAAAATATAACCAATAATAATAATATAAAAAGCATATATACATTGAAGCACAAAGCTATAATATTTGTGCTCAAATATGCATTATAGGCATTTATATGTTCACGAAAGTGATAAATAATAATAGAGTGCATTTACTGTTACATTTGGTGTATGTGCGGATGTGCGTGTGTGTGTGAAAAACAGACAGGAACAGACTACACCTTCAATAAGGATAAATAAACAGGGTTTACCCCTCCCGCACCATAGACATAACTATTTCTAACTAACCGAAAATCCAATGATAATAGAAGACGTCATCAATTCTTCTTGATGATAAAGTTGTAGTAATAAAATGACGTTGATGGTATGTTGTTCTAGACAAGATAGTTTGTTGTACAGTTGTTGATCTTATCGGGATTATGTAAGATTTTGATCGATTCCACAATAGATGGTATCGTTTAAAAGGATCAACTTTACGCGTATTACTACTCAGTGTTGTTTTCAAAAGGTGCAATTTCTCAGTTGTTGTTGTTGTTGGTGGTGGTGTTGGTGGTCTGTTTATGGTTTTTGTAACAGAATATTTAGGCAGGAAATTTGAACAAGCTTGTAAAGATGATGTTGACAATAAGGATTTATTGCATAATTGAGATTTGATTATTTGTGAGAAATGATGATCTGAAAATGATGATGATGATGAATTCTATGAGTTAGCTGAAAATGACTCATTATAATGGATTAGACTTTTGTCTGTTTGCAGTTGTATTAGCTATCGACTTAGGGATAAAGGCTACACTATTAGGAGGAATAAGAACAACTAAATGGAGCAAAGAAGAAAGCGAAGTAAGAGGAAAGAGGAAGACACATGGGGAAGCGGAAAAATAGGTGGATCGATCATAATAAAAAAAAATAATCTATCTCTACACAAAATTACTTTGTTAGATGTCAGAACTTAGTCAACAAGGCTGAAGTAGACAGAGGAGGATTCGGACCTGGAAGTGACTGACTTAAAGTCTAGTACATAAGCCGATGAGGCACATTTCCATGGTAACTAAATAATAACTGGACAATTATTACTATGAAACGCAAAAGTGATTCAAACGTTTGAGATATTTTTTTTTAATTTAAAGTTATAAATGAACCCGAATAGCTCGGCGGTGACATCTCTGACAGCAGTATTGAGTGGTCAGATTCCAATCTGGGAAGGAACATGAGTTCCTTAAAGATTTAATTCGTCGGAGGTTCAGTGGTAGAATGTTCGCCAACTACGCACGCTGTTCAGAGTCCAACTCTCAGCCAATGCGCTCCTAAACCATGGTAAGGCAGGGTAATAAGCACAGGAAAGAGGTAAGGTTTGGAGTGAGGCTAGCAACCTCACCCCGTAAAGATGAACACCACTGGCACGGAAACTTCAAAGCTCTAGCTTGAAGCCCTGTGTTCCACTTCGGACGCAAGGAATAGGTATAAATATATAAAGTCACTCTCACTTAAATTGACGAAAACACTGAAGCACTCTGTTGAGCAAAAAAGGATTGTACTCCAGTCAAGGAGAAAAATTCAAAGGGTTTTTTCACAGAAAATTTATTAATGTAATGCCTAGACAGACATCAAGACGGATGTAGTATATCTCAAGCACATGATTGACTTGCACAGAAATATAATCATGCTTCTGTGTATACCCTTGTAACTATTGCCAGAATATAATATTGGTAAAAAATAAAATTCATTTCACATGCAAACGTTGAAGTTCTAATTTAAGCAATTCAAAATATTAAAATGAAAGATTCTACTTTTAAAGTAGGCGCTAAGCGATACATCATTATACATTGGGTGTACAATAAGGCAGGTTCATCATTGTATTTCTGAACATCATCTTGCATGGTTAAGCAATGGACAAACAAAATTCATCTGTAGTCCTGTTTTAGCGCACCTCGTAGACATGAGCATAGAGTCGGTGTTAATACAGCATTTTTGTTTATTTATCACATTCCAACTAATGATAATTTTGCTTAAGGAGTTCGTTGCTTATTTTCATAACCTCTATCTTCTCTTGTTCACTGGAGTCTGTCTACGCTGTCTCCCTCTTCTATCACTTTAGTCGGTTTTCACCGGCAAGTTTCAATTTCTGTGACATTAGACATAAATTATCCACATGCGAAATCCAGATCTTCTGGAGTCTTCTTATCGGTTAGCGCAGCGTATTCCTGTCTTTTCACTCCCTGCGCACAGGCTGACACAATTAAAATATCATCGTTGATAATAATAATAATAATAATAATAATAATAATAATAAGGCAAACAGCCTTGTCTCAATCATGTCTTCGTTGAGTTTTCCGTTGTGAATCACCTGACGTGTGGGACTGTAATATAACCAGCTGTTGAATGAGGTTGATAAAGACTTGGGCACTACACGGCGTAGTGTCGAAGCAGTTTCCAAATTATTCTCGGTCAACGTTGTCTGTTGAAGGCGTTTTCGAAGTCGATGGAGCAAAAGTAGAGGTTTGACTGCCATTCTACGCCTTGTTTTGTGATGACGATGCATAGAGTTGCAATTTGATCAGCAAATGATCTGCCTTTCCTGAATCTAGCTTGTTCCTGGCTAGCGGATTTCTGTATCCAGTGCGTCTTCCATTCTCTCCAGGATAACGCAACTTAGTATTTTACTTATGTAATTATTTAAACTTATTTATAACAATAGAATTCTACAGATTTTTGAGGATGACATCGTCGAGAAGATATCTGTGTTGAGATTCTATGGTTTTGTTACTAATATCCTGATATGCACTCCCTACGGACTATATTAGTTCCAAGTTACACTTCCACTACGAAACAACATCACTATGATAAATCCTTGAAGATCATGGAGTATTGGACAGCTGTTTTCGAAATTTCCAAAGTTAATCTATTACTCATTATCCAACTGAATAATGGGATCGGTTCCCTAGAGTTCTAATCAAAAGTCATAACCTGTATGATCTACCAAAGACGACAATAGCTGGCAGTCGTGCTGTATATATTGTCAGAAAAAATGAACTCTACTCAAACAACTGAATGATAACCCTATTCACCTCTTTTGCCTTGAATAACTTCGATTCAATTTCCGATAGCATCATAGCTGTGTACGGATAAAGGGATTTAAACCAAATTATCTATAGAAAAAAGCGGGTTATCCATCTGTGTCTGATTTTCAGTTATTCTCCTAATTGATATCGACTCGAGATGGAATCTAACTGGAAACATTATTTACCACCAGATTATTTTGCAGATGTCTTTTTATTAGATAGCATAATCTAATTGTTCATGTCAGAATAGACAAAGGGCGAGTGATTGCTCCATCCATCCATCCATCCATCCAGTAGTTATAAACAGATAGAAACAATAGAGCTTAATGACACTACTAATAATAACACTAATAATGCTATGAAAACTATTCGTACAGCAATGAAATCAAATTAAGGCATAGTGATAATAATAATTATTATTATCCAGTGCTAATCTACTAAAATTCTGAGGTGAATTTAACGAATTTTCATTGCAAGTTAAAGGGTAACTAACACTAGAAGAAGAACTGGGAAGAAGTACAACACATGCTTACAGAAAGTAATAATAATAATGTTATTATTTTAAATAACCACAAGACTACTACTGATACAATTTGTGAGCACCAATTGGTATTGGTTTTCTAGGGATTTTTTATTAGTTGGAGGATTTCATCATGAGCTGACAACAGTTGGAGAACCACTGGAAAACCCGCCGGGGAGTACTGGACAGCTGTTTCGTTCCACCGGTTTGGGACTCTTCGTCAGTACGCACCCACCGGGGTTCCAACTCAGGACCTCCTAGTTACAAGGCGAGCTAGCTCGTAGACCATTAAGTCACTGGGACCCGATTGAAGAAGACATTGCAAAGTGGTCACTCTATGCCATGCATTGGCAAAAGTTACAATTCATGGGCTAGCCATTGGATTGGGTCCCAGTGGCTTGATGGTCTATGAGCTAGCTCGCCTTGTAACCAGAAGGTGCTGTGTTCGAGACCCCGTGGGTGTGCACTGATGAAGAGTCCCAAACTAGGCTGACGAAACAGCTGTCCAGTACTCCCCGGTGGGTTTTGCAATGGTTTTCTAACTGATGTCAGTTCATGATGAAAAGGGTAAGTTTAAATCGAACTTTTGAAATTATCCGCCACACATTTCTTATTAGCCAGTGTAACTCTACACCTCTCCTAGTATGGACGTTTTGATGATTCTCTGAAACAAACATGATGTTCCCTTAAAGGTGACGGCGGCTACCACTGAAATCTACGATGCTCATTACCCCTAATTGGCACTTGTTAGTTGGATGTCTTTGCATCCATGTTGAGTAGTGGTGTTCCCATTGAGGTTCGAAGCTAGCACACATCGTCTCAATTGCCAGCTGGTGGACTGAGATAAGACGAAATGTCCGTTTTTGATTCCGTTGTAGTCTCGAACAGTAGAGTAACATGATGTTTACTACAAAGCAGTGTTAAACTTCTGTATTGCTAGTCAATAGGATAACAAAAACCGAACACTTCGATCGAATATAATAAATCTGCTGGGAATTGGAAACCACTTCACAGAAAAGGATGTATGCTCCACTTGATTTACACATTTTGATGTCATCTGTTAAGTCATGGAACTTGGAAAAAGGTCTCAAATCTACTTAATATTTAACAGTGTAAAAAATGACACCAGAAGTAATAGATTTTGGATGCAACTGTTGAATAAACAACATTGTCCAGGAATACTCATCTAATCACTTCTGAGGGGTTAAGGTGAATAAAATAACACAGAATACAACTTATTTCATTTTTTTTCGAACTATAAAAATAGAAACTATTAATTTTATTTTTTGTTTTAAAAGTTGCAAACTTCATTAAGTTCATGGACTTACGCGTAAATGGAGGCGGTCCACTGTCTATACTGCCACCGTTACCGCCTTCTTCACAATTTGGTGGTTTATAACCAGGTGCACAATGACAATGTCCTAAATTATTACAAATCTATGTAAAGAGGGAAGGAGAAAAACACAGGAAGAGAAAAATTAAAGCATCATTGCAATACAATAAAATTAAATGTGTGGTAGAATATAATTCCATATTAGATAGCTGTTCGTGTGGAGTTAGGTATATCGGTCGTTCTACTCGAGTTTTGTCCAAGAGGGTGCAAGAACACTATCTCCCTGCATGGTTATGAAGAGGTGGAAGTGGAGCAATAAGAAACGCGATCATTCAACATCTGGTCGATACTGAACATCCTATCTCTATAGCCTCCGCCTCTCAAGTCATCTACAAGGCAAAAAGTAATTTACCCAATTCACTACGTACTCGACTCATCTGTAATGCTGAAGCTTCGGTTGTCGAAACAGAAAGGCCAGATCTCTGTGTACAGAAAAAGTTTGCTTAACCCATCCAACTTTCATGGTCTTAATCCCTCTAAGGTATGATAATCCCCAATCATATTTGGGCTCTACCAATTTTTTCGTTTGTCTATTGAATTTGTACACTCTTCCTTTATTGCGTCGATTGTTACTATTACTACTCTCACTTTGAACTGTCCCCGGTATTATTTCACTTGTTCCACTTGTCATTCTAAACCAATTCTGTTTTGAAACGCTAAATTCAACGTTATCAGATATTACGTAACGTTTTTATTTTATTCGATTTGTCTACTAATCCTATAATTGCACACCCTTTTCAAGTTCTATCCATCCTATGAATTATTCTATATATGACATTAATTTCCTTCGCCACTTGACATTTAACTATGAGTATAATCTACAAACCTTTTAGTTTTAATTGCATTTCATACTATTAATATTATTATTTTATGCATCCACACCTATGATTCAATTCCCACACCGGATATAACTTCTTAAAAACACCATATGATTCCCGAAATGACACTAAGTAATTGTCTATATGATTAAGTGTTCAGAATGTGAAGCTTGCTATATAGGAGAAAGCAGTAGACAGGTAAACGTTAGAGTGAATGAACACAGGCTGTGCACAAAACATCCACCTAGAAATGAATTTGAATTAAAAAGTCTAGAGAAAAGATCAGCTATAGCAATGCATGCGATAGACAGCAGACATAAGATTGATTTCGACAATGTCGAAATTCTAGGATGAGGATATCATTCACATAAAGAAAAGTTGACCTCTGAAGCCTTGCACATTTTAACCACATCGAATGCAGTGAATAGGAAAGAAAGGATAGGACTTATCACCTATATGGAAAACTCTAATGAAGCAAGATAGATGAAAAAACAACAAAAACCTCTATGAACGTCCATGACCTTTATAAAAAGTATTATCATGTTAATCACATACACCCATACAGATAAATATACACAATGACAATTTGACATTAGTTATCACAAATATATGGTGACAGTTTATATATTTCTATTGGTACAAGTGTCTATCGACAAGTGCCCTTCAAATGAACTGACTTCAGGTTATGCGAAAAAATTTTTCGACTATATATATATATATATATATATATATATATATTTTGATGGTTAAAAAAATCCCGAATAATTCTACTAAAGAATCTGTGGCTTACATAAGGAAACGTTCAGAAAAATTTCAATTTGCTTCTATCACGCTGGGATTAATTTAAATAATTTATAATGAATCAGTCTGACCCGGAACTCAAATTATTCCAGGAAGTTCGTCTGGAAACTTATAACAAATAGATCCCTTTATCAATTTAGATAAAACAATAAGAAGACCTAATTTGTCTGAATCGTGTAATGTATTTCCGCAACACACTTCGAACAATCTGATCACACACGGAATATGTATGTATGCAATCAATAACGAAAATGAAATTAGGTCAAGTTAAAAGGACATAGTGAAGGTCAAAATAACAATTAAGATCACTAAACCCAATAAGATAGGTAGTAGTACATCTACTCTGGCTGGTATCAAAACAAAGTTTATCAAGGAAGGTGAATTTAGTGTGAGGACGAATTGTTTGTGATGAACGCATAATGGTGGTTTAAACTTTCTAATTGCCAGCTAAGGCTTCCACAAACTTTAGGTTACGCCCCAAACACGTTTTATAGATAGGTTTAAAAGATGTGTTAACGTCAATTTTATGTCCTGTCTCTATAATATATTTCTCAAATAGAGGAGCTAGGTCTCCTGTTCTCACCATTAATGGGTTCTGAAGATTCCATCTGTTTCTGAAACCCTTACCTACAGAGATCAATGGGTCCTCCCTATGTGTGTGTGTGTGTGTGTCCACACATACATTCAAATTGATCAATTCAGTGGGATGAGACATCATTTTTCGCAGGTTCAAAGGGCTTAGATAGATATGCTGGCGGCATAAAGAGCCTTTTTAATAGCAGTGTTGAGTCTTTGTCTAGTTATCAAGCTGCTATGATCACCAATATATGGTTATGGTAGCTTGTTGTACACGTCTTTCTTAGAGGCGAGTTGTAAAGTGGATCTTGGTGTTTTGACTACTTTATATCTCCTGATGAACTTGTCTGGATAATTGTTATCAACCAGAGTTTGTGTCAACTTTCTTTCTTCTTCATCAAGTGTGTCTTCAGTGCATATTCGTTGGATTCTACTGAAGAGGCACCTTACTGAGGCTAGTTTGAATGTACGTGTGGACACACACACATAGGGAGGACCCATTGATCTCTGCAGGTAAGGGTTTCAGAAACAGATGGAATCTTCAGAACTCATTAATGGTGAGAACAGGAGACCTAGCTCCTCTATTTGAGAAATATATTATAGAGACAGGACATAAAATTGACGTTAACACATCTTTTAAACCTATCTATAAAACGTGTTTGGGGCGTAACCTAAAGTTTGTGGAAGCCTTAGCTGGCAATTAGAAAGTTTAAACCACCATTATGCGTTCATCACAAACAATTCGTCCTCACACTAAATTCACCTTCCTTGATAAACTTTGTTTTGATACCAGCCAGAGTAGATGTACTATTACCTATCCTATTCGGCAGTATGCACGCACACTGCGGGGTTCGAATCCAGGACCTTCCGTTTACAGCGACTGGGACTCATTTCAATGGCTCATGAATTATAACTTCTACCAACTACTGACTAAAGAACCAGTAAAGCCAACGACTCAACCGCTGAGTAGCTGATACATAAAAGTTTGGGAGAACAACCCAAAAAGCCTCTCGTGATCAGTTTTCTGATCAACAAATTATCAACCAAACAATGCACTGAAGTATGACAGTCTATGAATCTTGACTTTCATCGGCCTTGGTATAGCGACATCATACTCTTTCTTGTCATTTCTCTGTGTCAGGTAATGTTATATGCAACAAAATTCAGACAGATTCCAATTATGAAGAAAAGTATTTGATTTGTGGAAAACAGTCAAAAATAGGACAGAAATATAAGCTCAGATTAGATATCCCAAAAGTGATGACCGTAATAAGCAAATTAAGTGTATAACAACTAATACTTTAAAGGCTAAAATTTGACACAACTTACTCCACGACCGTTGCAATAACACGAATGCGGAGATCGAATTTCATCTATGGATTTACAAGAACCATTGTAACACATCTGTAAACACAGAAAATATAACAACGTCTTACGAAAAATGACGGATAATATATATATATATATATATATATATATATATATAAAGAGTATGTATGAAAATTTTATGATGGAGAAGATTATGTTGCTCAGATGGATGATATTGAATTAGTTGCGTTCTCTGAGCTCTGACTGGTCTTTTGAAGCCCAAAGGACTAGATCTAGCATCTGACAACTTTTATTTGCACATATCAGTACATCTATTGTTGTGGAACCGGGTATATTGATCTTTCCAAGTGGATCCTGTCTAAAAAGCGTTCAAAAACACTATCCCTCACGGTTGCATAAAGGTAGCAACCTCTTTCTAACAAGTGCAATAGCTTAACCCCTTGTAGATACTGGTTGCTCTGTCTCAACAAATCCGTCCTTCAAGGATTCTGCAAAGTGAAAAGCAAACTATCTAAGGTTATGCGCTTTCGTCTCCTGTATACTGATGAAGCTCTGACTATCCAGGTGGAGGAACCGAAGATTTGAGTACAAAAGAAAAATTTTCAACCACTTCAGTTATCATGATGATAACCCCTATTTATTTTCAACCTGATTACGGTTCACTTATTAAATTATTTATCTCATGGCGTAATTCCATCATCCTTATTCAACTCTTCATATGTATTGATTAACATTAGCAACTATTCTTTTTTTTATTTACAGCTTGATTCCACACTGTATTTTTGGTAAAAGTATGGAATTTTCAACATGGATATCGGTAGCCCAAATTTTGCAGGCCGATCATAGATATCAGGTGTGCGCCGGCGTGGGCTCGAACCCTGGACCATGTGTATGGTCGGCGAGAGTCCTAACCACTATGCCACCGACGCACATTCTTGTGATGATTAATCTCTGCCTTATTACCCACTTATACGAGAAAAACCATATGTACATGAGATTGTACAGCTGAAGATAATGAAATCTCTGAGAAGAAACTCCTCGTTGAATTGTCTGTCTTGGTTCTACTAATGCTCAGAAGGGAATTATTCGTGAATAACGCACGTTTGAATAGTTTCCGTCACACTGCAAAAATAACAAGTCAAACTAAATCACATGTGATCTTTTTTATGTTGATTACAGCTTGATCCCAAACAGTACTTTTTGTTAAAAGTATGGACTTTTCAGCATGTAATATCGGTAGCCCAAATTATGCAAGCTGACCATTCATATCAGGTGTGCGTCGGCAGGGGATCGAACCCTGGATCCCTGGATCTTAGCGTTTAAATGACGTAGCTCATAGCTGTAAACAATGAACAGTTTATAAACAGCGCTATGAAATGCAGGTGTGAGTTGTCAAATTAAAGTAATTCACGTTTTCAGCTCCATCTATTTTCCATCATGCTTCAACAGTCTTAAGAATATTTTAGAATTTTCACCGAAGACAACGTTCACTATTTAAATAAGCACTTAAAAGTTTTATAAAATTCATTGATGACTTACACCTCGAGAACAAGGTGTTCCATCTGGAACCATACCAGCATCTTGAGTATTAGCTGAATATAATCCGAATCCAGCACCGTTGGCATTAATTTGAGTTAGCTTATTTTTATCCCATGTTACAGGATCTGAAGCAGGCCAAACTGGATCATAAACAAGGGCTGAGCAAGACCGACCAGTTGAATGGATAACACGAGTTTGTGATTGAATCCAACCTAAAAGCATAGCTTTTTCATTTTGATGATGACACCATAAACGACCACAGGATGTATCATGCCTATAATGAAAACATTCTTTCATCAAAACGTTTTACTTACTAAATAAAAAGACAGTAGTATATATTGAATGCAAAAGTTGCTGGTAGTTGAAAGATTAGACATCGCTGAAGTTTTCAATTCAGCATTATTTTAAGTTGCGTATATTTTGGTAAACCCTGCCTACCAGCCTGGAATTTATTTAAACTGTGAAGATTTCAAGTCTCAGCACTCAAACTGTACCATAATAGAAACATATATACATATGTGTGTGTGAGATTCCCTAATACGGCCAATCCATTTTACTAAAACGATCCGGAATTTCAGATGACCAATATGATAAAGCTAACATATTAGTTACATCAAACAAAGCTGTGATATTTGTGGGCAGTTTTCTTACTGCGAGACAGGTCACATCAGCAATCTACATTAGCTAGAACATAATTAAAACTGGAGGGCGGTCGGGAAGCTGGAAATCACGGCGTCATGCATTTCCAGCCCTGTAGGTGAATGGCCACGTATTCACAATGTGATCTAAGTGTTAGGATGAGGAAACTACACAGTGTCTTCTCTGCTGACAGCTGAAATATTACTAAAATAAGGTAAAAAAAAGCCCTCTATTACCACTTGAGTTCAAGGGGAACTCTAACTGACGAAAGTTCGTAATAAAGTTCACTAGTAACATATAAGACAGTCAGCACACTCAACTCAACACTAAAACTTGAAAAAAATCACTTTTACAAACATTTCTATCCTTATGTCTCCTCCTGTAGATTTAGTTCAAATAGTGAATGTGACGAAACGCGTAGACACATTTCCCTTGGTGTAAAAGTAGAATTACTGATAGAAACCAATTAACATCAGATATATGTGATCTACATATTTGATGAAATTGCACTGATAATCAGATCACAATAGCTAATAATCATTCAGTGTATATAATAACTTTGATGACTAGTAGTGGAATTTAAGATACACATTTCGCCCCATTTCGGACTCGTCAGCTGGATGTACTTGCAATCCCCAGGGAGTGATGGTGTTCCCATTGAAACTTCAAATTAGTACTCATCCTTTCAAACATCAAAATACTATGCACTAGTCTACTGGGATACAAGAGTCATCAGTTATTCAACGGGTAAGAATGGTTATTCGTTTAAATACACAAAAACTGAGAAGGCGATACAATACAATTCATCAGCATGAAGTAGATATCAACTTGAACAAATAATCTTTGCTTCCTAACTGCAAACTAGGTGTTCTGATAATTTAACCAGTGTTGATTAGATGAACTTCCAAGGGAAGATGAGTTCCATCATTTAAACTAAAGTTAAAATACTATGGATAACGGTCAAAATGATACATATTACTGGTTATGATATCATCTCACAGGTGTTTTTCACACTCTTCGCAGATAAACAATACCATAAAAGACCTAGGAATAAAATTAAAGCATTTAATTCAATATGCATCAGTAGTTCAACCACAAAATGCTTGCTAATGACGGATGTAGTCTTGGGTTCGATCGTCGGCCGACGCACTCCTAAACCTCGCTTAACCGGTAGTAAGCACTTGTCTAGAAAGCAGTGTTTCAAACACAGGCGGAACAGATCAAGATGTCAAAGTCAGAATCAGAAGGGTAAAATATACCATAATTAATCTCATGTCGGTTTACAAATCTTCCGCACTCAGTCAGCAAATTTCAAACACCGATAGTAAGTCAGTCACCTCTATATGGATCAAAAGTTGGCACCCACGTCATGATAAGCATTTCCAACAGGTTACAGACTTTTATCAACAGCTTCCTTCACTACATATAGTGAAGATCAAATGTCCAGAAAGTATTAGCAAAAAAGAACCTAAAAGTCGAGTAAGCGAAAATTGAAATGGATAGGGCATACATCGAAGAAACTGTCGAATGACATCGGGGGACAATGCAGGTCAGTGGTCTAGTGGGACCCGAATGGGAAGCGACGAATGGATCATCCAAAGATGATATGGAGGAGATGAGAGATTATGGTCAATCGTGGACCCAGCTAAAGACGACAGCAGACAATAGGACGAAGTGGAGATGTGTTGTTGGAGCCATCTGTTCCACTCGGACAAAACCCAAGGGAGCAATAATAATAAAAATAAGCCCGGTAAAGAGGTAAAACTAGGCATGAGACAAGAAACCCCACAACTGCTATTGAGACTTCAAGGGGCAAACTTGAAGACCTATGTCCCACTCGGAAAGCCGAGGATAAGACGTAAAACTATCATTAAAAATGAAAGGTTATGAGCACATACAAGTAAAACTTTTCCATGTAACCTGATAAAGCGTACAGATCTCATCTAATAATAATAAAAATAATAATTTGCTTTATTCCAAAACAGTACTTGCGATACATAATTGAATTCTCAGCATTTTACTACAGTATTGCATCCAGTTAGTACATTATCAATAAATAAAATTCTACATAGATTAAGGGTAATCTCAGTTAGTTATGACAACAACATATTGGCATGTCGGTAGCAAAGCCAAAAGTGAACAGAGTGTTTGAAGGTGTTAGAAAAGTAGACACCAGCATATTTACTGGCGTAAGCGGTAACAAAAAGGTCGAGATATACAGAGTGTGAAAAAACGAAGAAGATGTTTTAAAAGAGTTTGTAAGGAAGAAAGAAACAAAGTAGCACATAACATAGAAAGAGAAAAGGAAAAGAAAGAAAGAAAAACGTTGTACCTATAAATGATATGATTTGGAAAGACGACATCCAGTTGTTCTACTGACTATTTAATAAGTTACAAGTTTAACGCCGCATGCTTTCTTTATCGTACATAACACGAGCAAGTAGGCTGTCGTTGAGTTTTTGTACTTGCTAGTGCGAGCATATGGTTTTCTATATAGGCTTCTGTTGCCTGCCTGATGAGATACAAGGGGAGAGTTGTGAATGAAGAGGTGGTGTGAGTTAGATAGATAGAATGGATTTAGCCCATTTTTCACATGAGTCCATGTGCCTGTCGACCAGAATATTAACAAGCTGGTTAAGTGGCACATTGCTTACCCTGCTGACATCTTTAACACCCCCTGCGTGATAAGGTATAGCCCTTCTTCAGTAGCCCAGGTAAAACTCAGGGGGACCAATAGAGAATAATAGGCAGAATGCGAGAGTTAACGGCTTGTAGGAGTAAATGTTGTGTTATTCCAGAATATCTTAACTTCTTGATGTAGAAGGTAGACGGAATATTTTCTTAGAAATCATCAAGATATGAGACGACCAGAAAGATCAGCAGATGAAATGACGCCTGGGTATTTAATTTCCGGTTTGGTCTCTCTCTGTTTCAGTGCCATCTATGTTGCACACCTCGTGAGTTCTAACCAGTTTGTTTAGGTCAGATTTATGCCTAAAGGTGAAATTGACGGTTTTGGCATTTAGAGGGATTTAAGGTTAGACCGTTTTCCTTGGATCACTAGCTGATTTCTGATAAAAGCCATTTAGTTTGGAGTAGTCATTTTGACATTTGACAGGCAAAGATACAGTCAGGTCGTCAGCATATTTAACAAAATCGTTGTCATTTGAAGATGGTAAGTCATGCAGAAAGAAAGAAAAGAGATGTGGGGAGAGTACAGCACCTTGGGGAACACCAGTTTCAGTGAGCACAGCAGAGAAGGATTTACCTTTGTATACAGTGTACTGCATTCTGTTTGAGAAGTAGGAATTCAACCAGTTTGTGACCTAGGTCTCAATTTGTGTCATCGAGAGCTTATTTAGCAAGAGACATCTAGGTACAGAGTCGAAAGCAGAAGTGAAGCCGAGAAACGTTTCTTTTTATTTAACCTGAAACACCAATCTAACGGTTTCCCCACGATCATTATGGAGACTGTTTGTCTGTTTTTTGTTTTTTTTAATGGTAAGAACTGTTTTCATTAAATCTCACTGTAACTACACACACAGATGATGTCAGATTATGCATGTATATCACTTCAAAAAGGTCTCAGACAGAGAGAAATCCCCGCTATGAAAGGAGATTATTATCATGAACACTACTATGACCGTGTTTCACATGTCTAAACAAGTTTTTCATGAAAAATTTTGATCAATATATATATATATACATATATACATATGTGTAGAATTTAAACACTGGTTGATTACTATTCAGTATAGCACATAAACACACACACACATACACACGTAAACAAACACTGACGTTTTAAACAGAACCTATTTATCATTCATTATCATATCAAGATTATTAGATAATATCTAACCGGTTATAGAATTATTTGTGGGAGGAAGAAGACTAGTATGTGCAGTTGTATGACTAATTATCACTTTGGCATGATTAGGGATGACAAACAGTGGTCAGAAACGTCGTATTAGGATAAACAAATTAAAATGGGAAAACAAATTTTTCAGCTGGGTCTTTCTCATCCTTTTTTTGATGAATAAGTTGATTAGACTAGACAGAACAAGAAAGAACTAAACTGAAAGAACAAATCACAACATTTGCCCTGCTTTAAACCATAAATTGTAGTAAAACAAAACAAAACAGGAAACACACGGTGAAAACATATACTACTCATAGTACTAAGGAACCATTCACATCGAACAGTCCTACTTGTTGGTCAGATCAAAGTGATTTAGACACTGGATGGTCGGTGCACTCGTTTGGTAACAATCTCATCATAGATGTAGTCAGTTAGAATTTTGCCTTGCTACTTGGGCTAACTGGTAATATTCGAGAGTTTGGTTTGTAAGGATTAATAATTTTAATAATAACAGCTATTATTCCACCACAGTATTTGTGGTACAGATATGGAATTTTCAGCGTGCATTACAATATTGCATCTAATTACCTCATAAATTTTTTAAGATTTTAAAATCAAAAAGCAACACCCCAAAGAAAAAATAAATAAAAAAATAAAAAAACAGCGTTGCGTTTGCATATTAAACAATGCACCACAGGATAAGAAGTATAAAATTGATGTGTGATAGAAGATGAGAACAACAGTGTAATAGTAACGAGGAAAGGAAAACAAAACTAATGGGACTATTTGTTAGAGTGTCGCAGTAAGTTGATCGTGTCATACCTAACGGATTTCTCATCACATAACAGCTGTGCCAGATAGGATATTGTGGAGTTATTGTATTTGGTAGTCCTAGCATAGAGCCCCCTATAGCTGCTTCTAGTTCTACCAGATGAAATGCAAGGAGACAGCTGCATGTAGAGAGGATGCTCGGGGTCTGAAAATATTGTATTTGCTAGTTTCTTACATGACATTATATGTCTATCCAAAACAGTGCTAACCAGTTGGTTTAACGATATCCCACTTGCCCTCCTAACGGCTTTTAGTGCCCTTCTCAGCAAAGCAAAGTCTTAGATTTGTTTATACGAGTTTGACCACGGATCTAATCCTTACAAATCAAACTCTTTAAAATTAATCTGATGCCCGTTAGTGACTTGAAACAGGACAGAGTCATTTACAGTTGTGTATCGAGTACCGAACAATCTCCTCAAAGGCACACGATTACGCCTCCTAGCCATAGCTGAGGCTTTAGAGATTGATAGAGAGAGACCAGACCTATATGTACAGAAGAAACTTATTCACTCTCCTGTCTACCCTGGCCCAATATAAAGTCACCAGGATCATAATTTTTCGTATTATTATTATCTCATTTTGTGATATCATGTCTTTATTATCCATTTCTCCACCCAGTCTATTTCATCCCATTTTTTCCCTTCACGTTCCCCAGTGGAACATAGGGATTCAAGCTAGTGGCTTGAAGTTTCTGTAGCAATGTTCATTTTACAGGATGGGTTGCTAGCCTCATGCCCAACCTTTCCTCTTTACCAGCATTATTTCTGGCTTAGCGAGGTAAAGGAGTGCGTCGGTGGCCGGGGATCGAACGCCGAACCATGTGAATGGTCAGCGAGCGTCCTATTTGCTCCCATCCCATCGTTACCCTTAATTTTTGTCAACCTTTGCGATTTTATACTAAGCCTACCAATTCTGTAACATGTATTTTGTGGTTATTGCATTTCTCTCACTCCAATGACACTTATATTCTGTTAACTATAAAACAACACTATATCACCTAATTGTTCATTCACACTTCATCACATTTTTCTGAATATACACCCTATACACATTTAATTGACTATTCTAACTAATGGACTATCATCTCAACTTACACATGGAACCCAATACAGTTTCTGATATTATTTTCATTTGCCTTAATTGGCTATATGTACTCTATTATTCATGGATTTATAACTGTAGAACCTGAAGAAGAAGTTATCGAAAACAATTGTTCGCTTAAAATCTTGTTTTAATCTTTAATAGTTTGTATTGATTTTCCTGGGTAATTATCACCCCACCCCCTCCCTGAACGACATGATATTGACTAATTACTGTTAGCAAAGATATCGCCTATATGTACTGTATTAAAAGTGCTAAATGTATATTTGAGTACAGCCAGAGATGAACATTTCTTCACTCCCTCCCTTCTTCTTCTAAAAAATACGTAGTCGTTAAACATACTACTTTTAAATTATTACAGGTATTAGAACCTTCAGACTTTTATCTACGATCCATTGCTAAAGCAGTTTCTTGGCTACGATAAATGCATCATTTCAATTAAAGTAAAAGGGAAGGAAGTAAGAAGAAGATTGGCCAAGTTGAGTGTGAGGATAAATGCTAGCCGATGATACTGACTAACTAAGCGTTGTACTATATATCGCAACTGTCTTTAGTCCCAGTGGCTCATTGATCAACAGGATCATGTGCAAGTGACTGATGAAGAGTCCAATCTCTGAAAAAAGTCTCTGTCCAATGCTCTCTGATTGTCAGTGGTTGTCTACATGATGATATCAGCTGACTGTCCGACTCGAACTCAACCAAACCTCAAAAATAATTTTAAAAAATGCACACACACAGTGTGCTACTTACCATGTTTCACAGGCAATACCTGACCATGTTTTCACATCTTCCCATCTATCACGTGGTAATGGTCGATTAATTCCACAATTAGCCACAGAATCCACAGTTGGTTTTCTGTCCCATACTTCGTTTTCATAGAAACAATATTTATCAGCAATTGTTGCCGTTTTCCCCCATAGTACACGACACCAACCATCAGCATCACGACAACCACCACGGACACAATGTGCCTATCACAAGAGAATGAAAAGAACAAATAAATCGATTAAAAGGACGATAAAATATTAGTGTACACTGAGCATAATCATTGTTATGTTTAGTTATCTAAGAAAATATTACAACCATAAAAAGGATATCAATTTCTCGACGAAATACTGATTAAATAATCAGAACTGTGCACGAAATTCCATCAATTCATGTCACCATACTTTAAAAAAGACATAAAATAGAGGAACAGAAACACAATAATAATACTTGATAGCAAAACATTGTGAAGACAGTAGGCTAGACGAAGATCAGTGAATATTTTTAAAATCTAGGAAAATATAGTGACCAGAGAACAAAGTTGTGCTACTAAGAACGATTTCCACCTATATCAAAACGCTCGAACACTAATTTCTAGCATTTTAAGTAAGCCAGCCAGGTAGCCTACAACTCTCCACCCACCCTCCCCCGAAGCTATACCCTACATGGCTCAAACCAAAGGTGGAAGATCTGATAGAAGGTGTTCAGGAAGGGAATAATATCTCATTTCAATGAAGAGTACACTCCACTTTCAAATTCAGATGTGGAGAATCCCAAAGTAAAATTGTCCTTTCGAATATCCTAAAGACAGGAAAACAGACAGTAGCATTAAAAAGGAATTTGCAGGAGAAAATTACTTGGAATGGTAAATATGCACATTTTTACAGCTTTGTTACTCTCCAGTATAAAAGAAATTCGGCAAAGACTTTCAGCTATAGGGTCAGACCTATTTGTTTCGAAAACAGCTACCATGAAAAGTTCATCATGAACAGGAAGATCCTGGGTTCGAAACCCAGTGGATGCGTACTGCCGATGATTCCCAAACTAGGATGAAACAGCTGTCTAGTACTCCAGTGCTAGTTTTCAATGGTTCTTTAACTGATATCAATCCGTGAACAACTCGTAAAAGCCATAAAAATATGTTTCCCATAATCAAAAATGCCTCCTTCGTGTGATTGGTTGGTTGAAGGTCGTTCGCTGATTGGTAGTTGTTAGTGGCGCTTAAGTTTAAATTTACCCTATCGAAATTTGAAAGCTCTAGTTTGAAGCCTTATGTTCCACTAGGAATCAAATGAAAAAAGAAGAAAACACTCCCTTCATTTTTCCATCTACCTACGAATACATCTATAGATAATCTTACAATATGGCAGCACCGTGTATAACACAAAGTTATTAATCTTTTCATCACTAATGTGTCACAATATGACTGATGTATAATTTGGATCCATTGATAATATAACTACTTGAAAGAAAGGAGTATATTTCTGCCTTTAATTTGTTATTGTTGTTGCTGTTGTTGTAACTGTTTTGTTTTAAATGTCGAAATAAAAAAATTTCAAACTGTTACCAAGGAAACGACAAATAAAATTAAAGAAGGAAATTTACATTAGCGTCTGAAGTATTTATTACAGTACACTTTTATGAAGGTGGAGAAAACAACAATTGTTATATTTTAATATGTAATAAAGAAATATCAAATGAACTTATCAATTTCTAGTGATTTTTGACACTACCTTGAAATAAATGAATACTGACTACAACAAATTAATAAACAAACTACTGGCTAACTGACTGACTGACTGACAAACTAACTAAATGATGAAAATGTTACAAAAAGAAATTTCATGACAACTGTCATTTTCTTCAATTCTTTCCTCTTCCTTGTTTTCATCTTCGGTTATGTTGTTGACTGCAGATGACAAACTTTCGACAGTAAAAAAGAAAATAACTTATGTTTACTTCAGTTTTTGTATCTTCTGTCAGTTGATTATATGGAACCGAAATGTTGGGTCTTTACTGATATATCAGTCCTACTAAGGATGTTTCGATGATATCTGAAGATTATTATGCTGTTATTAGGTGGATTGTGCGTTGGTGGCACAGCGGTAGGATGCTTGCCAACCATGTAGCACATGGCCCAGAGTTCTATTCCCAGCCACCGACTCACTCTTTACCTGGGAAGTTTGGGCAAGAGTCTAGCAACCTCATCCCATAAAAATAAACACTACTGGTACTGAAACTTCAAGCCTCTAGCGTGAAGCCCTATGTTCCAATGGGAACTTAAAGGAATAAAAAAAAACCGGATTTATGTACCTGCAATCAGTTTTTCCTAATAAACATCCTTTCTAGTCTCATCGGTCTTTACTTCCTTACAGTATAACTAAGCATGTTGCTAGGTCATTCAGAATACATGGGACTATGAGAGAACTAGAATTCGGACACAATAAACCTAATGTATTCGATAGTTTGAAGTGACTCAGCCTTCTGAGCTGAGTCAAACCAGTTTTACCGCTGATGGGCTCGGCCAAACCCAAGGGTGTGGAATGGCCGTCCAGTGTTTAGGTCACCACGATCTGACTAGCAAATACTGCTGGTTGATATGAGTGGTATGCAACTAACTACTCATCTCAGTCAATCAGTAGCATACGGTTTTATCCTAGGGTATTAGGTGGATGGTAACTATGAGCGAAATCCGAGATGTGCATTTCATACTATCCTGAACTCTTCATCCGGATGTAACCATATTCCCAGTAAGTGATATTTTTCTCACTGAGTCTCAAACTCAACACTCATCGTTTCAAACGCTGCGGAGTTATCCACTAGGCGCTACAAGAGCCATCGTACGAGGAACTACCATGTCAACAGGGCCCCAAGATTTTAGTCCGATATAATCAATCAACGGAAAGTACAAAAATTAAATTAAACAGACACAATAGTTGATACGCATTGTCTTGGGGGTAGCTTTCATTGCTCAAATGACCTAGCAGATAGTACTTTGGAGTGTGAAAAGAAGAGTGCAGGGTTCGAGTCCCATTGCAAACAATACTTCTCACCGGGGGGGGGGGGCGGGGGGAGGCAAGTACATCTAGATGATGAGTCCCATACAGAACGCAATGCTCATTCTAGATTCCACTACTAGTCACCATCTTCAAAAAATAATAAAACTACTTCACACATACACACACACACTCAAACTCAAACACATATCCAAACACATTTGACTTTCTCTCTTCCTTTAAGAAGTCAAGTCAAATCAGTTATGCAGTTTGTCCACTGTTGCGATTTCTCCCCTATATTTAATCACCTGATTGTTAGTTTGGGTTGAAATCCCGAGCAATGCACTCACAAACCTCATTTAGCCGGTTGTATGCATGCTGAAGTGAGAAGGTTGAGCATGAGGTCAGCAATCTCATCCCATAAAAAAAACGCACCACTGCTACTGACAGTTCAGAGCTCAAGCTTGAAGCCCTATGTTTCTCATCCAGAATACATGAGAATAAAATAATGAAAATAAATTCACAGTAGTAGTAACAGGTTTCAGTAACAAGAGGCTGTACACTCTTGTTGACTAAATGGACTCATATGTGCCATACAAAGTTAGTCAACACCACGTTCGCGAGATCTCTTCACTGAAGTAGTGCTACACTTTTTTTTATTCCTTCACGTTCCCAGTGGAACATAGCAATGGCTTCAAGCTACAGGCTTGAAGTTTCACTAGCATTGTTTGTTTTTACAGGATGGGGTTGTTAGCCTCATGTCCAACCTTTCCTCTTTGCCAGCTTTTATTACTGGCTTAGCGAGGTACAGAAGTGTGTCGGCGGCCAGGGATGGAACCCCGGACCACATGCGTGCTACATAGTACTTCAGTTAAGCACCACTACACCAGAGCCCACTGGTAACTTAAGTCAGTATCTAATAATTTAACAGTTTTACAGAAGTATATTGATTGGTCACTGGACACATGAGATACTGATAATTACTCCCTAGTGAACAATCAATGTATCCATTATAGCCCTACAGGAAGTCATTCGCCAACCTGAATAGGTCAGAGTTGACATCTATCAATACACCACTAGGTGATGCAGGTTTCAGACTGGGTAAGGACATCACTTAATAATAATAATAATAATAATAACAGCTTTATTCTGAACAATGTTCATATAATGTACAGAAGTTTCAGCGAAGTTAATTGCATAATGTTTTCTCTTCCTCCATAATCTTCAGACAAAAGATTAATTTGTTAGTAGATCGTGTGACACAGTTCTATCTGACCAAAAGCGTACCCTAATCTATTGTGATGTCTCTTCTTTTCCTCCTTAGATGAGTAAATGACATTTTGTTGAATGCCAATTAGAAAAAGTTCAGGAGTAAATTTTGTGAACCAATAACACAACTCAGGAACATTTATTTCATGTATTACGATAAGCTGTCATTCAGGATATTGCTTTTAATCATGTCTACTAGAAACTTTCTAAACCGCTAATTGTAAATGCTTTAAACGCTCGCCAGTTTAAACAACACTATTCAAGGTCATATTTTACTAAATTTAAACAAAGTCACTGTCAGAAATCATATACAATATATTGATGGAGGTTTCCAGTAGCCCATGTTTTCAGCAGGCCACCTTCCTTCCAGTTAATTGATTAACTCAGATGACAAATGTCAGTAGTAATCATAAAACCAACGTTGTAGAGATTCGCATCGATTGCCTTCGACCAATTAACCATTTCTTCTTCAAGTATTGGTTTTGTAGGGATTTTGTTTGATTGGTTAGAGGATTTCATCATGAGCTGACATCAGTTAGAGAACCATTAAAAAACCTGGGAGAACTGGATAGCTGTATCCTCTGTTCTAGTTTGGGACTCTTCATCACCACGCACCCAACAGGGTTCAAACCCAGGACCTCCTAATTACATAGCGAGCTCGTAGATCATTAAGCCTTTGGGACCAAATCGAAGAAGACATTTCAAAGTGGTCGAGATATATCATGAATTCGCAGAAATTAGAATTCATGGACTGGCATAATCGTCTACCAGCCCGCTCGCCTGGTAGCCAGAAGGTCCTGGATTCGAACCCTGACGGCGAGTGGGATGAAACAGCTGTCCAGTACTCCCCGGTGATGAAATCCTCCAACCAGTTTCTTCTTCAGTTTAACCTAATTTTTTCAGCTTAGTTAAACTTTTTTTAAAGGTTAAATGGATACAGA